TTATTATACTGTTTGCCTGTCGTGGTAGGTCGCTAGACTCGGTGTGACTTGTCCGTATAGTTAAGGAAGGTGCTACTTTTGTCGCTGTTTTACGATACTTTATTAGTTCAACATTGACTATAGGAAGGTGGCCAGTGTTGCTTTTTAAGGCCGTTTGCAAGTAATTGCAGTCACATCCATTGGATTTGATTACAGTCAATTCTGAGTTAACGACCGTCCGTTAGACTTTGGCTCGATGTCCGTTATATGGATTTAACCGTTGTTTTGAAGTAACTTCTACAAAGCTTACAGAGTTTTTCTGTGATGAAATCATAAAGATCTTAAATGTTTGTGTTTTGATCCCATAGTCTGAAAGAGCATCATGAAATACTTCTAAATGTGCAAAATCAGTTAAATTTGTAACGAATTGGTTGAGATATGACCAGATAAGCACAAGCGCTGGCCCCATCAAACCTCTGTAATTTGGTCTCTGTTCATAACTTAAATTCACCCGAATTTTTACATATCAACTAATTTTGTGTATTTCGAAGTATTCTATGGCGTTCTTTTGTGTTATTTGTTCAAAAATCTAAAAGACGTTTTTTTGTGAAGTCACGCTTAAGATCTCTATTCTGAATTATCTGTTGATTATCCGTTGTCCGTTGGTTGTAGTTGTCCATATATGACTTTTAGTTGATGAGGCGAAGTGTTCAAGTGGCAAGAACGTTTGAGTGCAGTGCTAATGATTATTGGTTCAAATCCACTAATGGGCACGTGTCGTGAATATAATTGGCTAATGTTCAATTATTTGCATTGTTTAGCATAAAGCATGGGATCGAGGATGAATTTTCACTACAATCAAGAATCAAGAAGCAGAAATGAAAAGTCCTAAAACAATAGAATTTCACTGCAATTGTTTTTGTTTTATAAGCCAACTACTAACGCGACATATGCCCTGTAAAGGCATTTGACATGCATAAGAACAGCCAATCCAAAAATAACTTAGGTCAAATTGATCAGAGCACGCGCACAAGAAAGGAATTGGAAACTGCTCACGTGAAACCACCGCGCGCTGCTCTAGGATTTCACCGTTTTGCTGTCCACGTGTCTTTTTCTGTGCGCAATTTGATTGGTCAACCGCTCGTGATCGAGTGACTGTCAGCCACTTTTACCCGTGTCAAATGCCTTTAAGAAATCGACCTTTGATTTGAAGCTCCAAGTGACAACCCAACGACGACAATGGTTAGGAAAAATGCAACAGGAAAAAGAACTGGCATTCTTACTACTATTGGTATGAAACAGGCCTACCTGTTAATTTACCAACGCGCGATTCGTATAAGAAGCAAGCCTTTCTGGACTGACATTTTCAAAGTTTTTTTTCTCTTTTGAGCGATGTATTAAAACGAGAAAGCCAAATGGTTCAGTTTTCAAGAATGTCAATTTTTCTTGTACATCTTAAAAAGCTTGAAATCCTATACGAAAATGAAGTTGAAATTATGAATCTTGCAATTAAAATTGGGGTCACAATGATTTGCGGTAGGTCTTTAGCCTAAATTGACGTGTCATTATGAAAGCCTTACGCATTCAACATCTCTTATCGTGAAAAATTAAATTCTTAAAAATCCAATGTCATTCGTCTTGTGAGGCAGACCATTATTGTCTTAATTTTGTCCACTTAATTTTGGAGACTCTTTGGAAATGATGATTTTGAAATGAAATACTAAATTTTAACTGTCACATCCAGAGACAAAACTGACAATGTCAAAAGATCACGTATAGTCTATGTAATTGACTGATAAGCTATGTAATTTCTTATTAGTTTATTTTTAAAGTAATTTTAATGAGTATAATATGCTTATAGAGCCACACCTTGTCATTAAAATTGCAATTTAATTTCCTCAATAAATTTCCCTAACAATATTACCGAATTGATTCCCTTTTGGAACTCAAGCAATGGTCAGTTACTCCAATTTTCTTAAACTATAATTAAAATATTTCCATATAAGCATGCAGGAATCTTTAGATTGCGATAAAAATAGTACCTTGGAATAGTTCTGAGGATTTCTACTTCGATTTTAAATGAATTAAGCCGTTTTTTAACAAAGCTGATTTCACCCTAAGTGAAATGGAAAACAGAAGTAAAAATTTAACGATTTGTTAGCTAGTTAACGCAGGGAGTTATGTAATAACTTTCCGAATCTCTATGAGTACATCCGGACCAAATTATGGTTAAAAGAGGATCTATGCCAGTAACTTTGATCTACTTAGTGAATATAAATTGGGGGAGAATGGGAACTAGTATTTCATGGAATACACGATCAAATGATGGGCTGCAATATGATATCGTCTAATTAAAATTGGAATATCATCCAACTTTATTAATTTTAAGCTTGTTAAATTTTTTTCACAATTTGAGCAATGCCATATTGTCAAACCATGAAGATTTTGAAGAATGTATTGCGTCCTCCAAAAAGCCTTTTTAGAAAGTTTAAAATAAGTATGACATTGTGGTCATGGTTATCTTCTCAAAATAAGTGTTTGAAGTAGCGTGTTAACTATTGTAAATTATGGTGCTGTTATCAAACCGATCAGAAAAGCAAGAATACGGCAAATTTTGCAAGATGGTTATGACTACAACATTTGTTCATGTTCCACAAGATAGGTCAGATTTTTTTAAAGGCAATGTGTCCCCTATTGTGCTCAACTATCTGTGCCCTATTAACGCCGGAGTGATATTCACGCACCGTCGAGCTTGATCGACAATTAAACGATACCAATGAGAAACAACTTTGATTCCGAAGCTTTTGAATCAAATGGCCGTTCAAGTGAAGCTGTGGCTAGAAAAAGCTGTTTGGTTTGTGCGCCAGATAATTCAACAGCGATGGAAATACTTCCATTATCATCATTAAATTCTAGTTATTAAATCTTCTTGCTATTTCCGATAGCATTTTGCTTGCAGTTTCAAATGTTGTCCACAACCGCAGCTAGGCCTGCCAAAGCGAGCAGTGTAATTCGTAATGGCGGGAAGACCAATTGTTCATATTGGCCAATCATTTAGGGGACAGACTGCCTTTTATTGTTTTAGAATCCGTCTGCGTGTGAAAAGATACCCAATCAAGTATTTTCAGGAAGTGCTCGTTTTTCCTATTATCAAGATTGTCAAAGCATCAATAAAGGCTTGAGATCAGTGATTGGTCATATAAATGTCAGTAAGACATAACTTCTTTTCAATTTTTTTCAGTGGCCGCTTCGTTTTTACGATATGAAATTGCTCCGTTTTTTTATTTACTAGATATTAGGCTAGTAATAAGACAAACGGTCAAGCAAAATATTAGTGAAAATCATAGTAAAGAATTGAAATTGAAGCGAAACCATTTTACCCATCAATAATTACAGTATATCAAATACCATATAATACCATATATCAAATACAAAAAACAGAAAACAGAAAAGAAAGCTTTAAAGAACAAGGATTGATTGTTTTTTTCGTAATGATTCGACGAAACATTCCAACTGAATCATGCAGCAGAGGGGATTCAGTAATATCTGCTTTCGTAAATTGGGTCAAAGAGATGAAATTTGGCCTTATGTGTAAAGGTCAGGTCAAAGGTCATAGGTTAGGGCAGAGAAAGAAGTTTTGTTGAAAGAAGCAAAGAGGAATAGAAGCCAGCTTATGATGTATTAAGGAACGTTTTTAATAAAGGGAAGAATTAGTAATAACGCAGCCAGAAGGTGTAGATTTGATCGATGTACTAAAACAAGGCATATTATACATTGAATGCAAAAAAGATGATTGTTCACTAGCTCATACGGCAATACTGTTTACATTGCAGTCATATTGTACAAGTAGTCATACGGCCGCACTATTTTTTCTCTATCTTACTGAATATCTTAGAGGGAAAAAGTGCCAGTAAGAAAAAGTGGTGTCAAAACTTGATATTGCAGATACACGGATTCGCAAATTTCGAAAGAACCGATAAAAGATTGCAATTTTGAAGAATTTTAAGATTTCTAGTTGGTTTTAAGGTCTGCATACTGAAAAAAACAGTCGTTTGGCTTTAACAGAGAATTCTCTCTTAATTTTCCTTTTTTTACTGTCTGATCTAACAGAACGCTGCTAAAATCATTAAAGAATCACGAACTTGTAGCCGTTTAAGTGATTATCAAGATTAAGCTATTACCAAGTGGATTGAAAAGTTGCGAGTTCACAGTTAAACTTCACTGTGACACTCTTTTAAAGTCTAAAGTACCTTGAATCCGGTGGGTCATTCTGCACCAAGCCTTACGACCAGTCGTTGCTTTTACAGAAGGGTATTAAAACTTCTGAATCATGTGTGAAAACGTTCGTAGGAGAGATCATTTGTGTGCTATGTTTTTCCTTTGCACCTTTGAAGACCTTACTTCGTCGCCACCCTCTTTCACAAAAGACCACCCATTTAGTTTGCACAGTAAGATAACTCTTTAGGACAGTGCTTGTTTGCCCGTGTTGTTCCAACTGGAGTAATCTATCTGCCTTATTCTTGCACCTAGTTTATATCATCCAGATCCTTATGAAACATAACATTGTTCTACAAAGCCCTTTTCATTACTATTTTCCCTTCTTTCCAGCCAAACTATCAGTTTACTTGATAAACCATTTGTAATGTAGAGATATATCTTTATCTACAAAGGTGTTAGTAAAAAGTTAATGTTGTGTGATATTTTCAATTCCTATAATATTTCATGAGCAATACAGGTAGTTTTACGTTTTACACCGACATATAATTCGTGGGCGTTTCACTGACATATCAATTTCCTTTGTAAGCAGTAACCGTTAAGTATAGTTTTCATAACGTTGCCCCGTATTAGCGTGTGCTAGCCACGGAATTAAATTTCTTTTACTATTGTAATAGGTTTGTAAAACGATATGTGGCTTTTTGCAAGAGACCTTTCATTGACTGTGAGACAACAAGCCTCTTTTCGATCTAGACATATACCGTGTCTAATAGCGACCATATGTATATATGCATATATACTTTCAGGAGAGGGCAAACACACAACAAGGTCATTCAGATTTGACAGAGCTCTTGAAGTTAATACATACGCTGGAAAAGGTAATGTGTAATTTGTTTTATCTAGCTTAGCCTTGTTGTTATTGTAACATCTTTGAACGTGGTGGTGCTATCGGGTTTGAGACTTGCCTGCGATTTTAGGAGATTCCTTTCACTCGACTGTGAATCATAGCGGATGGAACGTGAGACCAGAACGTATGACCTGGTAGTTAATCCAGTGATGTTACATAGCTAAGTAACCAGTAATTTGCTTTTTGGATAATTTGAATCATTATTATATAATTCTGTTGACTAACGAAGAAAAATAACTACCATGTTTGTTTACTCGAACGAATAACTTAGCATCTGGAACTTCAACTGGCTCCATCGCAGGTGCCTTGCGGGGATCAGATACTTTACGTTCCTCACCTAGACAGAAGTGAATGCTCTGTGGAATTTTCATTTTTGAATAAGACACTGAAATATGATATAACAGTCCTTAACTGAGAATCCGAGAACGTTTCCAGTTAAGAAAATAGATAAATTGTGGTTTGAGTGTGATATTTGTTTTTAAGGCAGTCGGTTGTGGAACTTGTTAGATTGTCTTGACGTGTCTTATTGGTGACAAGTTTTCTTTTATGACATGTCATTTTTGCGAGATGTCTTCTACTTTCGCATGTCCTCTCTTCTTTTGAATAGTGTTTCTTCTCAGGATAATCTTATACATGACTTGTCATTTATCATTCTTATTAAGTACTATGACAATTGCCTTATTATGGTTTTTATCGGATGCACTGATATGGGAATGTGTTTCAGAGAGATCTTTTGAAATTTGAATTGGCAATATAACACGAGAAATAGATATAATATCATTTTCAAGTCATTGTAAAAACGAATTAATCATGTTTAAAGTAAGCTTTTGAAATAGATTCAAGGATATACAGAATTAATGAAAATTCATTTTTTGCAAGAGACATTAAATTGCACAAATAATTGGTGCAATCTTTTGATGTCAGGCAGAATCTGCACTAACGTAGTTGACTTTCAAAAAATTTTGCAGTAAATCTTTTTATACATAGTGCTGTTTGTTTTTTTGTTTATAATGGCATATTGTTGTCAAAAAACGGATGCTTATTCTAGTTAAAAAAGAAATTGAATAAACGAAAATCAAAAGCACCTTAGATTTAGCTATTTTACAGGTAAGGGCAAAATCAACAGCAAGAACCAAAAACAACATTCTTAGACTACGATACAATCCACTTATCGTAGAGAATTAACTTTTCGCGGAAATGAAAAAGATTAAATAGTGTAAGCTTCTTTAGACAAAGCAGAAAGGACACGGCTGTTTTCTCTCACGAAATGTGTAACCTCATTCATTATATCCAACTGTCTTATGCTTTTGAAGACCCCATTCTAATCTGTGTGTTTGGCGATTGGTTTTGAAATCGTATCTATGTTGCTACTGCATAGATTGGATAATAACTGGTTCTCTTTTCTCATCTGCGAGGCGACAGTTTGACAACTGGGTAAGCTTTGTTTCTTTGTTTTAACTAAGTATATAAATTGGCCTCTTCGTCTACGTGAAATTCGAAAAATTCTCTTCTGTAATTTGTTATTAAACTAGAAGTATTAGAATTTGTTATAAGAAGGCTTCTGTTCATTGTTTGATTGTAAGCGAGAAAGAGAGATATCTATGTTAAATTGTCTTGAACAAAAAACTAACTCAACCATCGTGCTGTTACGTGAAATGAATCATTCAAAGCACGGTATAACCTTTGCATTCAGCCAACTCTTTACTATATAAACTCGCCATCTTTTAAAAGTCTCTACCTTACATTGCTTTTCCATTGGACATCTGTTGTTGCTTTCATCCTAATTGTCTTACCTTGAAGAACTACCTTATTTGGGATTATACAGTACTGATGAAACTTGTACCCTTGATACAAAGCCTTTTTGTAATTATTCTTCAAACTATATCTTCAGTATAAACATCGCTATTCTATATACGGATTTCCATTGTATTTGTCTTATAACTTACTTTTTAATTCTTATTAATGTACAAATAATGTGTGTTCGTAATTATCTGTCTTTGTATTTCATTAACTTGCTCTATCGCCTCAACAGACGATAAATTCGTCATGAATTGCCTTTGTTGTTATGGATACTCACCTCATCTTATATATATTTTTGCTATTACATTTCCTCCTAACTTCAATCTTTTCCCCTAACTCCAGTCTCCTTATACTTGTTTTTCTCTGCCTTCTTTTCAATTCAAGTGAATCCTTCTCTATTCTCTAATCGCCCTGTTAGTCTCGTTCTTATCTGTCGCTCTATTTTTTCGCTTGTTTCTCACTTCCATCTCAGGTATACACATCATATTCGACACTATCTAATGTCCCCGAGTCTTCCCTCAAGTTCTTTGGCTTGTTGAAAACTCAACGTTTGATTATCCTATTTCTTTGTTTTTCACAATAGTTGTTTTATCTTGGCTGTATTTGACTCTTCTGTTTCTCTTTATATTCCTTGTTTTATGTTCTTCTAAACCCCAATCTGTTGATTAATCATGAATATCCGAGATGCATCATCACCCTTTCGAAGGCTTATCCTGTACACCCATATGCTAGTTACATCATGTTACTTAATGTTATCTAGAATTAGACTACAGATTTATCACCGTTTGCTCCAGCCTTTTTTTAACTCAGATCGATTTAACCTTTTCATATATAACGTTAGCTTCACTTTTATCGTATGTCAATTCTACATAATGTTATCTTGAGTTCTGCTGTGGATTTCTTCTGTTCCTTATCTCAACTCAACGGTCCTTTCAATAGTCAGTGATGTCATTTGTGAGGTGAAATTGTCGCCAAGGAGAAAGACAAAGTAGCCTTGACTGACTATTCCTTTTTGAAGCTCATCAATTTATCAAAAGTGGTTCTATTCTTTCAGACGTCTCCGTTTTTTACTTGGCCAACTTGCCTTCTTTTTCATTCTCTGCAGCACTAAACTCTTTACTGGCAGCACACAGTTTCTTTGTGTTAGCGTGAAGCATATGCCCCCTTTAACTACACAATAATTCACCTATTTCAGAAAATATATATTTTCATGCAGAGACCAGACACGAACTGCAGCGCAATCCTTGTAAATCAAGCGCCCGATAACTCCATGATAACGCCAACTGTTGTCTAACCTTCCACTTTAAAGGCAAACTGTTTTGTTGTGGATTGGTTAACGAGAACAATAGCTGAAACAATAGCCCAAACACAATTCCATCGCTTCGCCATATTTTTACAATGCGATAAATTAAAGGGGGACTGGAAGCAATAAAAAATCCCTTTGTTCTTATAATCAATCAACATCGAGACAGATTGCCTTTAACCTTCCCCAATACTTTCAAAGCGCCAAACATCCATTAACTTGAACATTCGTTAACTCCAACCATTTTTGTTCTTTGAAGTTTGAGTTATCAAGATTATACCGTTCTTATTTTCAAGAGTATTTTCGATAGCAATTAAAATTTGGACACCATATGCAATGTTTTCATATTTGCATAACTATTAGCGTTCTCACTGAATCTTTTGATCAAAACCCTCTCAGTAGGCAGTGATTTTTCTAAAATATACATTGCCAAATCTTACTCCTCAACAGGCTCAATTAGGCTGATAATGCATAAGCTTTTGGCAACAGATATTGAAAAATTGTTTTGTAATCGTTAAAGGAATAGCTTCTCGTGTTATTGTTTCTGTTTGTATTTGTGTCTACCTTGCTTCCGAAGGTAGTTTTTAGGACACTTGGAGCTATGCTTATCGAGCAGTGTCCCGGTCCTTCTCTCGATGTGACCACACCTCGTGATTCTTACGCCTGGAATTGCAGAGAGCTGGCAACTCTCCTCATACTGGGTGAAAGTTTTGTCATGTCAGGGACTCGAACTCCAAACTTTTGCATCTGAAGTCTGCGACCCTAACCCCTGGGTTATTATTACTTAGTTCACTAAGCCCTTTATTGAACCCAAATTGCGGGAAACCAATTGGGTATGCTGGTCGGTATAGCCAGATAACCGAAATTGGACCGAAAATCGACGCTGTCATAACGTCCAGATTGGTCATCATTGGTGTATCATACAAAGTATACATTGATTGTTAACTCTTTGCAGCAGCTTGAGCATTAGGAATAATGAGAAATCCATGTTTCCTTTTAATTAGTGATAAGTTTTTTAGTATAACAAAAAAATGGAAATTGCGGCAGCCTCTTTAGCAATTTCCTTTTTTTACCAAGCTAATTCAAGGCGAACAAGATTAACTTTAAATTAATTTGATTTCCGTGAATGTTTGAAAATTTGTGTAAGAGTAGAAAGGAACATTGACAGCAGCATGACAGCTTTAATTAAACTGTCTTGAAAGTAAAAAGTGACATTTTATTATTTAATTAGCCAATTTGTCTATCCTCTGGGTATTTTATCTTCATATTATATTGATTCATTATTTCTAGATGTATTTTAAGGCTCATGCTGTACCAAAACGGGTCCTTAATCGTGTTCAAAGAGTTGCACAAGAAACCATTTCTTGCTTCAGATTTTGTGCGAAAGTAGTTTTTGTATTTTCAGAACAGATTGTAAACAAATGCATCATATAGAATTTCAGTTTCTGTACTTTTTCTTTCTTACTGACATGGCTTTATTCTTATTTGTTTAGAGGTAGGAAATCAAGAAAATCAGTTATATAAAAGAAAACATTTTCAGGGTCATTTAGTAGTACGTCTTGTTTATCATTACGAAATGATTGCTTTCAAAAAGTTTTCGTTTTATAATTTTAGAATAGTTAAATTTTTCAAATAGTGAAAGCAACAAAATATCTAGAATGTTTTTAGAATTTTTTTATCTAAAATCAATGGGTGCATTTATAAGTTGAATTTAAAATTGTCTTTATACAGGTCTGGATTATGGTAATTATTGCTTCTGTCAACTTCTGTCCAATTTTTTATAATATTAGAGTTGTTTTCGAGTGCCCAGGTCTTTGACAGGAAGACCAAAATCAAACTAAACATTCTCAGACTTTCCAAACCAAACCAGACTTTAGAAAAAGCTTGGGTTAATTCCTTTTGTATAAAAACATCAATCTCTAAGTTTGTTTGTCAAAAGATAATTATTTTATGTTAGAGGAATTATTGCTTTTGTCCCCAACGATTTTGACAATGAACACAAGTCTTTAAAAAGTGGACCAAAATCAACAGGTATATTCGAAAAGTGTTTGGGCGTGTTTTTTATTAAAATAATAACAATCGAATAGTTTGTTTGTCAGGATTGAATGTTGCGCTCTTTGCATTGAATTTTTGCTTGTAAACGGAGGTTTTCATATCCAAATAAATTTCTGTCACAAAATATTTTTGTAAAAGGCACCTACGCATTGCCTGCCCATCTTGCAAAAAACAGTTTCTTTCCATTCATTAAGTTACAAACAATTGCAATTTCTAAGATAAGTTGTAAATATATGCTGTTGACAATTCTTTGTAAGTTAAACGACAAATGTCGCCTATTAAAACAAAATCAAAATTATTTACAGGATTGTTTTATTTGTTGCTAAAGCATTGCCACGAAAAATTTTGTTATGTCTTTGCTGAAGAAGCGCTCAAAAATATTTGATATTAAGACCGATTTCCATTAGACATTTTTTATGCGCGCGGGCATAGCGCCAAAATCTGTGGTGCTGTCAAGTGACCGAGCGCACAAAAAGTTGAGATCCTATCAACTTTCTGGCGCTCTCAGCGGACGCAAAATCGTGACCACTTGATTCTAACTATGCATGCTCAGAATTAGGCGCTACGCCCGCGCGCACAAAAAATGTCAAATGGGAATCGGACTTTGTGGAAAATCACGCATAAGCCATTCAAACAAATAGCAAGAAGTACCGTTGCCAGGGAAGGGAAGTGCAGCTTACTCATCGTTTCCCTTAGCCAAAAAGATGCTCCAATTTGCTGTTAAATAAACTGCAGGCGACTACTTAGAGAATTTGCCAAACAGAACTCTGAACTGCAGTAAAGCGCTAGTCCTGCTGTGTTCTTTGCTGCCGGATCCCTTTGAATCCAAACTGCTGAAACCCAAATTCCTTATTTACAAGGATTTTTCTTGAAATAGGCTACTAGCTAAGTCTTAGGATCAAATGTTGGTAAAAATTGTACCGTTATGAGAGCTGTGGCATGAATACTGACGGGCCGGTTAAAATGAAGCTGATTGGTCTGAATAAAATCATCACCAGCCAATGAGCTTTCACGTTTAGCTTTGTTCGATCAGGCTTGCTGCCTTCAAGGAAGGCCTGTATGGGGAACATATGGGTCTTGAGTTACATATGAAAGCCATGCCAGTTTAGAGGTTTATTTTGTAAAAGTTCAATTGTTTGCTTCGAACCAGAGAAAAATAAATTCGAGAAACTCGAAAGTGTTTCCTGAATTCATTTTACTATTAAACAGCTTTTTACACTGGATGAAAACATCTATTCAAGAATACTTTCCTCCGCTTCGTCCTCCTTTTTTATTCAATCCTCACTTTTATTTGAAAATCAATTACAGTTTAATCTTGATGCTTTTATCTCAATTTATCTGTTTGTTTACCGTCCTCCTGTCTCGCTGGTGGTCCAACGAAGCCTCAAATTGTTGTTAAAAAGTAACGAAAACATCTATTTTACAATAACATTACCCCATAGTTTACGAATCTTTTTCACTTTACATGTAAACTGTTTTATTTTGATTGCGTTTTTTGATAATCAATTTTTTGCCAATTTTTGAAAATATTTTTATTCGGTCCTAGGATTTGAATAAAGGATTGCGAAAGTCTGATTTCCTTCTTCTGATCCCTATACTTGTGTATAACGGTCTCAGCCCGGCATCCCTTCTGATCTGAGAGAGAAAATCTGCTCTACAAAAGGTTAGTATTGTTCGCTTCTCTATTCCAGCTATCGTGGTGCCGCCTTGCCAGTATACATAACGTTCTCTTTGTTTTAAGAAAATTCTCCTATAAAACTCTGTAGCAGTCACCCTTGCCAGAGGTCTTTGGGGTCTTTGCTGCGCCTTGTAGCTAAACCAATCTTTTCAGAAAGTTTTACATTTTCAATTTAAACAATCAGACTCAGAATTTCTAACGCAAAAACAATTTTGGCGAAAGACCAGGGTCCAGAATACAGAGATTTTTTAAAAGTTTAAATAAAGCCTCAGCGTCCAGTTTTTTATCTTGCAAATGCTAACTATCGAACCAATGAGTTAAGGATATTTTAGAACACGCTAGCATTAGATGATATTTTATAATGCTGCATCAGAAAATGGCGATAAAAAATCCCCTGGAACTCAGCTACAATGCCTGCAAAAAGTCTTGGTACACTAACGTAAGATTTTAAGGGGCAAATTCAGCCATCCCCATCCCCCCTTTTGAACGATGTTGGTTTACTACAAAACGACGCTGGGGATTAGGAAGTACGGTTTTTCTTGCAAATTGTATGATATTTTTCTAAACTGTCAAAAAATTATTTTGGGTGCAGACTAAAAATTTTCAGGGAAAAGAGTAGAAAAATGTAAAAACACAACGCATATTGCTGTGTTCCCAAGTACTTTTAGCAATGATTGTATGTTTATTTTCGAGGAAGGTTACTGGGAACTTTCCATAATTTTCTTATCCTCAACCCCAAAGTATTTCAACTACAGTTCGAGAGCTCACTATTTGTGTGTGTTGCCATCCAAAAAAATAGTACCAGAGAATATCCTTCTTGCCGGAAAAACCTTTTAACAGATTATATTTTGTCGTAAAAATTGATAAACGGGAGTCCTTTGAAAACTGCACGTCAGGGATAGTTTCTCGTTGCAACTTGCAAAGGTTTGGTATTAAAACGAGAAAAAGTCGACGTTTGACTCGAAATTTTCCTAACAAGTGTATCTGGGCGGGCTTTCTTGCTGATCTTTGCTTTAAACTTTGCTATGTTGATAACTTCGTAAGGTAGTACATGCACAAATCAGAGAAAGTAGCTTCCAAACACGTTGCCAAGCAACAACTCATCACAGCCAATATGCCACCTCGGTTGTCAGTCCTTGAAATATTATTTTTGGAAAAGAATGAAAATCGAGGGAAGTTTGCTGGAATCTTCGTTTTAGTTTTCTTTGGTTTTTTAAATATGCTTGATTTAGCCTCAAAACAATCGTGAATGAAAACCTATTATGGTACCAGTCTAAACTATGCTGTTTCTAGTAAAAAAACAGTAATATCGGATCCTTTTTATATGCCTAAAGCATTTACTAAAATTAGTTTCTGTGTATATAATTTTTCCTTTGTTTATTACTTTTATTCAGCCCATTAGACAATCCAAGCCAAAGCTTCAAGGTTTGGCTGTCTATTTCTAGTAACTTCTACTTTAGAACAAAGACGTTTTTTTCACGAACAAGAAAACCTAGGCTTGTCATATTCAAATAATTTCGTTTGTATTTCCGTTTTAAACGTGGATTAAGGCTAGCTTCTTCGTGCTTCTACGTGTGAGGTAGACTTTGGCCAAAGCGCTTACTCTAATCTAGTTGCAAGACTGTCTGCCCGATTTCATAACAATGTTCTTAAGAGGCGTCTTCAAGCGTTTATCCTACTGGAAAAACCAAAGAAACAATGCCATAGAAATCATTCTTCAAATAGATGTAAAGTTTGCTGGTCGGCCTAAATTTAATCGTTTTTGCGCCAAACTTTTCCACAATGGGCGAGACGCTTTCTAAAAGCAACTTCTCACAGTTTGTTGGGATCTGGGTGAAATCCAAGCTCATTTCCGATTATCCCAACAAACCAGTCTACAGAGGTCTAGATTTCATTTTGCTGCATCGTAAGTGTTTTTTAATAAAGATATGTTTACTTTTTGCTAATTGGGTTTCTAGAATGATATTGTGTCGCGATAATTAAGTTAGGACCATTTGTAGAAGCGGTCTAGTTGAATGGATCGTTTAAAGGATTATAATTTATGTTCAATAACTAGTAGCACCTTTACTGGGCATGTTCATGATACGATGATATTGCGATCTTATCGACTCTGGCTGCAAGATGCGCAGAATAATCAACTTCTATATGACGATTTACGTATGTTCTTCAAGCGATGAAATCTTTTTAACCTGGTTTAATACCTCTGAGAGCATTAGAGATCGATGCATTCTTGTTTGCATCAGAGACAGCCTGCAAGCACTGTACGACTTCCTTTCCAGGAAAACTACCAAGCCAGTCCCAGAGCAATAATTTCACTTCTTCATGGGGAATTTAGCCATTCTCTTCTTCCTTTAAAAATAACTTTGGTTTAATATAAACTGACATAGTAGATAAGAAATCATGATTTCTTTGAGCTACTCTAGGAATTTTACGGTGGACTTTATTCACAAGGGTTTTATTGTATGTTTCAAAATGTTTGCCTTCTTTTTAATTTTGAATCCTTAAAAAGTGTTTGCAAATTTCATATGGAAAGAGACGTTTTAAAATCAGCTACTATCAACTCAATAGTCAATCTACATGCCGATGGTATATTCAGATAAGGTTCAACTGATCAGTCCTTGAAATGGAAATAAATCTCAGCACTGTATTGCGACAAGGATGCTTTTTGACTCCCTTTTTTGTTAAGTCCCAAAAAACGTGGGTTTAAAAATGTCCATATCCTTATTGCGAATGAACACTAAAAATCTCCTCCCCTATGGCAATTGGAGAGACTATTGTGCCGATGAATTCCTTTCTTCGCGAAAAATGATAATCTGTTACCATTTCCCTTAGAGCTTCACCCTATTGTGAATACGGATTAATAACATGCTGGGATCTGATAACGGTTTTTAAGTATGGAGTGTTTGTTGTTTGTTTTGCTTTTTACTGTAGGGGGTGTCAGCTATGGAGAGAAAGACATTGATTCGTATTGTGCATTTGCTAAAATTGGCTATTCTCGAGTGTTATGTACCGGCTGAGCAATATATTTGATACGAGCCCAGTATTATCAGGATTAAGATACTGTCTTGACAGTATTGCTAGCAAAGGTGGATCATAATCTCCTTCTTTGACTGTTCCATAACTGTACCGACATTTTGTCAGTTCTGTATTCACCGATTCAATTCAGAGGTGGTCCGAGGTTTGCCTGGCAAAAGGTCATTATAATTGCGCTAAAGGATCTTTTTTTGGAAATCACATCTCTAGACTATTTGATACTTTTTTGTAAGTGACTTAAAATCTAATCCTGACCACTTTTTTCTTGTTAAGTTAATTGCCGTCGTTTCGCTAAACGCTCAAAGATATCTGCTCATAAGAATGGATTCAGAAATAGCAAAAATTACCAAATATACTATATAACACAAATCCCCATTGATGTGAATTCCAGTCCGTCATCATCGTACTTTCCAATTTAAAAGTTTCTCTCAAGTTTTCCTATTTCAAGAGTTTACACTTTTCGTTATCAGCTATACAATGCTCTCCAAAATCCGGGGATTTTGGGTCCCATTATTCTTCCTTTTGATTTGTAACCGTTTTATTGTCATTTGGTATATATAGACATTAGCGTAGTTTTGAGAAAGATGGCAGAACTTCAAGCTTTTATCGTGCAGTTATTAGGTAGTCTCACTAAGTACAATTCAAGTTAACAGATTGGAAAGAATAGAGAGACTGAAATGTTTGCCTGCAATGAGGACGTTGAATAAGATTCTAGAAAAGGTGAACGAAGAGGGAACAAAAGTGAACGAAGAGGGAACAAAAGTGAACGAGTTTTCTTCTGATTTATATTGTAAATGCTTTGGCTTGTAGGAAAAAATAACTAACTTTGAAAGAATAGAAGCCATTTTAGTCAGTTTGTGATTTTCTGCAACTGATTACTCTACTTCTACATAATGGTTCCTACACTGAATATGCTTCATTAGCAAAACGTCAGCCTAGGTGGTCGTAATCTGCAGTTTCTTTTATGCATGTTATTACTGTATTCTAGCCTATGCTTTGAACACCAAAAGTCTTGAGTATTGTTTTATATGTTTTTCCTTTTCTCAGCTGCCCCGAGGACAAAATTCAATTTTTAAATTTATAATACTCAAACGTGTCCTTCTCAATTCCTACACCCTAAAACCAACATTGAGGATCACATGAGATAATTTTACAATTTTTATCGTCTTTGTATTGACTGGCAACTGTAAAAGTAGCGATGGAATGGCTTTAATCGTAGCGGTTGTGTTAATCACTTTCTCGGTTACATCGTTGTGAATTACGTTAGGTCTCTGGGAATGGACACATACGAAGTATTATTCAGAATGTCTCGTTATAGTGAACGCATGGAATCCGTTGCAAAAGTTAAGCCAATATATCATCTCTGTAATCCATAGAAAATCATGTGGATATAGCGATTATCAATAGAGGTGACACGCCCATATCAAAGTCATGGGAAAGTGGAGCTAATTTAAACCGTTCCATAATCCGGAACTTAAAATAAACCGTATTTTTGCACTTGAGTAATGATTAGCTAAAGCTTGCTGGTTGAATATTTGATATCTGGACTAGTAGAGAGTTGCTTAAGGTCCATTCGTCTTAATTGACCGGACATCTTCGTATTATCAAGAAATTTAGTCTTACAGTGTTCTAAAATTGTGAATTTGCATCTGATAATGTTAAATAATGAATAACGTGGTTTTTAAGTACAGTATCCCTACTCTGATATATTGAAATAGGACTATAGATCTTCAGCATTATCAAGTTGGGATTATTCGTTTGGAAATGCAAAGCTCATTTCGTCATAGGCCTAACCCAAAGCATTAAGTGCTTGTGCAAATATATAATGTGTAAATTAAGAAAACCGCTGGAAAAACCATGGGAGATTTTAGCAAATTCTTTGCCTTGCTATAATAAGTATTAGTTGGTTTCATGCTTCATTGCAAATTGCGACCATACTGCCTATGACAGTATTGCATATATACGTCTACTTCCAATCTATTTCAAGGTATCCACTAGTACTAATGTTTGAAATAGAGTCTATAGAACGAAATATTTGATTGACCAAACTGTCTTGCTTACAAAAAGCCTGAGTATTGTCCTGCCTCGGTACCAATTGATCATATCAGCCTCTTATAGATGAAATTAATGAAAACACTTTGGCACAGACCTAATGTGCTGAACGCGACCATACCGTAAATTTTACTAGTAATGAACTGGCTTTCAAGAGACACCTTAAGGTTTAAACGAAACAGATTAAGGTTTAAACGCTTCCCAACCTTCGCATCTTTTGAAAGGTTGCGCGGATTTGAGTATTTCAGGCAGACATTCTAGTATAAAATCTATCAGATTAATGGGAGCAAAATATTATCAGTATTATGCAGAGTCAGAAAATATTTTAAAGGAAAAACTTTTCTTTATCAAATAAATTGATGCTTATATCTGGCATTTGACGACATTTTTGATCTTGATGGAGGCTGCTCTTCTGTTTTTTTCAAATGTTCTGTTAATCGTTTATACAGATGATGATAATTGTGAGATGATTTTTAATTAATTACTCTCCAGGTAATTGCCATACGATTTGTATTACACTCTTTGCAACCAGGAAATATCTGTTTTGGGAACTTTGACAAATTTTTATGCATTGAGCAAAGATAGTAATCTACAGGAAAAAGCCCCTTTTTCCAAAAATAGGTGTAGTATTTTTTTTACTCTTGTGAAACTCAAAGAACGATTACATTTTTTGTTCATACAAGTCAAACAGGTGACAAGTGAGTTGTAGCTATATAGATCATGATCTTCATAGTCTGTTTACGTCTACCCTGGATGCCAGAGCCCTTTCCTCTTCCATTCTTCTTCGCATTTCCTTTCCCCCGTTCTTCATCCTTTGACTCTCTGAGGCTCTGGCACCCAGGATAGTTCACGTCATGCTTACCTTTTTTCCAGTGGCGGACACTTGAGGGGGCGAGGGGGGGCGACCGCCCCCCCCCAATACTTTAGAAAACAATGGACTTTTGTTCTAAAACAATGGGAAATGTGACGTCATCTTATTAAAACAATAGGCTTGCCCCCCAATATTTGACCAAGTGTCCGCCACTGCTTTTTTCTCTAAAACGATTTTCCGATTTTCCCATTTAACGTAAAAAGCTGTCTTGTTAAGTTTCGCTTTACTCCTAGACATTCTTTCTATTCTTTATAATCTTATTTGTATCATTAGACGATTATCTCGTCATGTATTATACCATCCGATAGTTATTTTATCGCCAAATGCTTATAATTAATCACAGTTTTACACACTGATACATTTCCACTAAGTAGATTTGAGCTGAGCAAGTGATAGCTGAGCAAGTGAATACCTTTCTTCCAAATCATCTTGCTTGTGACTGACCTTTCTTCCAAATCATCTTGCTTGTGACTGATGCGCCTTTAAGTATAATCATGATTTGTAATCATACTGCATATGCTACAAAAATGACAAATTTGAGCTGACTGCTGATTCATCAATGGATGACATGCTTTTTCTCATTTTGAAAGCCTATTTCGCTACACAACAAAAGTTTTTCGCTACGCAATTCTAACCTGTCATTTCCACTCTGTACATAACTGGAATACCGTAGCCGATTGCTACGCAATTCTAGCCAGTCGTTTTGGCTATTTCCACTCTGTACATAACTGGAATACCGTAGCCGATTGCTACGAAATTCTAGCCAGTCGTCTTGGCTATTTCCACTCTTTCCACAAACGGAAAACTTCTTTGTTGGAAACGCTTCGCTTTGGATTTTCTAAACTTGCTGGCTCTGAATAGAATGATGGAACCAATTTATGTAATTTCCATTCCAACCAACATCAGAATTTGTCTGATTTATACACTTGAGCTAATATTTAGAAGTAATTTATGTTGATTTTCTTGAAGAAAATATTGTTAATCCTTTTCCAATATGATCATAGGCACAACCATAAAACTATAAATTTTGTGGTTATCGTGATAAATAAAAAAATACTTATAGCAAAGGTCTTTTATAAGGGTTCGACCTTGTAAAGGTCTACAATTCAAACAATTCATCTGGAATGAAAATCCAAATTATTGAAATTCCATCATCTTTCTAAACTCTGAACAGAAAACTGGGTCCAATTTTTTGTTATATACTAATTTTGCACTGTCTGTTTTAGCTGACATTTAAACATAACATAACTTTTTTCGTAGTCTCATCTCTTATTGATGACTAATCCACTTTTTTATATCGTTAAAATATCTTTAAAAAATAATATCTGGCACTTGTCTTTATTCCCGTATTCTTATTACAGCATTTAAAATTAAATGCAAAAAAATTTTAAACAAAAATTTTGATAAATAGAAAAATGTTCATCATTCTGTCATTTTTAGCATTTCAAAAAATGACATCTTAAATTCTAAACCCTGTAAAGAATGGCGGCCCTAATGACCCACAAAATCAACGTGTTTTTGTGTAAGATGCTATTTTTAGACCAATCAAAGCGTTCTAGCATTGTCTTGGGTAAAATGATTGGCAAAACGGCACAACACAGTCACCCTGGCCTTTTATGTCACAAGTATAAATAGTCATAACGACAAGGGTTTTTTTGCATCATTACTTCATGAAAACTGAGTTTTGCGAAAGCGTTTATTATTGGTTTCGGTACGTTCCGCTTTGTCTTCGAATACCTTAAAATTTTTGGGCTCCTACGCCGCATAATCGACAGCAGGAAATCATAAGAACTCGCCTTGATTGTGATCTTTTATCTTTTCATTTACTTGAGTCATTTCTCTTTGTTTCTTTTCACCTAAAACAATTTTTCAGTAACCAGAAGTCAAAGATATCTATAACTTTCGATGGGGGCGTCCGAACTTCCCTGTTCTCTTTACAACCGTAATTAGATTTACTCGTGGGATATGTTGAATAATATCCCTAAAATATACCCTTATTTCTCGTTATACTGTACTTCTGAATACTTCATAATCAATTTCCTTACCATCACAGATCTGATTGGCGTCTCCTTCGCAGTCCTTGGCTTTTTAAATCAAGAAACCCCGTCGCTGGTTGTGTCTGTTCTTCAGAGGGAAGCAGGAGGAAGGATTCTTTTTCAAGTTGCCATAGTGGTAAGTTTTTATCCATTCTACCATAATTTTTGTCATAACTATTCCGTGAATCAGTTAGAAAACGCTGGAATGCATTTGATTTCTACGTTTTTCTTGGCATTCATTTTTAACGTGTTACTTCGCAAAAGGTTTTTTCATGTTGATCCATTAATATCTTCTATCACTTTTATCATTTCAACGAAACAAATTTTAGTGACATTAACTGGCATGTTATCCAGAAAAGAAACTGTTTGAATTTTTATTTTTTTTATAAGCCGTATTTTCATTGAGTTTTACCGAGATATCGCTCTTTCTGACACGGGCGACTGTTGTCAGACGCTATTTCGTTATCAAAACAACAAATTGTATGTAGGTGTCCTTAGAAAAGGGTTGAAGTCATGAACCGTCTCAATATATGTTATTGTTCGCTTTTGGAATTCATTACCTGTTTCGATATGTTTTGGGCTGGTTTAATAGTAGCATTTCCTTAAAACTTTCCAACCAACTCTTTCTCTGGAAAAGTCGTCTTAATCAATCTTCTTTTTGTGCCCCTCTTATTGACCTCCGTGCTACAGTGCCAGCCCCGTTCTTACATTAAAAACTCAGCTATTCTACGCCCTTTGCAATATCCTCTTCCCTATAAGTATATTTCCTGAACTGCGTACCCCAGGTACATGACATACACGTACGAGCGTCTTGCCTAAAGGGTTTTGCATTCTTGATACAATATCTCGCTATCAATATTGCTGTTCTTGCACCATTATTCCGAAAATAATCGTATGATAACTGAAAAAGTTTAAATGGCTTTCAGTGTAGAATGCTTTCACTCTTTGAGAGCAGAAGAATGCTATGTTAAACATAACATAACCATTATTGCACGATAGTTGAGTAAAATAAAATTCTTTCTAGTCAAGCCCTTGTATAAACGTTCCCTTGTATAAACTCCAATTTACCCAATCGTTACATATCATAAAGCAAATGTCACAATTATGACGTCATAGCCGCTCAAAAATTCAAAACCACATACACGAATGTGTGCAGTGCGTCTTGATTATGGCCACGTAGCTGCAGGGGGCATGGGGATGGGCTGTGCCCCCTAAATGAAAATTTTGACAACAACTTGCCCCCTTTCGTTACAGTTTTCCAAATGATATTTTGAAAAGTGGTCATAATTTTAATTCCGTGAGCTTGATTTAGTTCAAATATATTTATGTTCGTTCTATATCTGTTTTCTTGTTTTAAAGCCTGCTCTATTCAGGAATGGTTCTTTCTCGGGTTTTCCACCCTAGCCGACATCGACAGCTACGTGGTTTCTTTGATCAACCCTTTAAACTACGCCATAGGACATTTAGATGTCTGTTCTAGTTGCAAATATGTAGCTTCATTTGTTTTGTTTATTGTTTTTGTCCTTTTTTATTGTTCAAGCTTCCAAAAGAACGACTTAGCTCTAGGTAGTATCATTCACCAAGTTCATTATTCTTTATCTATTATTTCAATTTATCACCCAAAATAACTGTTAATCAACTATTATCTATCACTTCGCTATTATTTTGTGGATCAACACTGTATTTTCATGTAAAAGGCTGTGTTTGACTCGATACTAGAATCCTTGCCAAAATTGTTCGAGCTCTTGTGCAAAGCTGAAGCTTTTTTGACATATTCCCCCCCCCCTACATACCCCCCCCCATTACAATGTTGTTCAATTCGGCTGTTTTCATCCTGAAGGTAAAAATTTCTTTACTGAAAACTGTATGAAAGTATTGAGAAAGTAAATCAACATTGTACGAGGGGAGGGGGTCGAAATTTTTGAAGCGGCAGTGATATTTTGATGAGGTAGTTTTAGACTTGCTTTGTTTATTTGCATGCCGCAATGGGAAGGTGTTCCAGTTATTTTTGGCAAGGATTGTAGGTCCACGTTATTAAGGCACTAAAAAGTAAAGAGTGGTTTTTAATAATAAAAACAATGTGCAGGACCAGGGCAGGGCTCGAATCGCGAAGACAGACACTGCACTTTGATGCTCTATTAATATGTGCATGAATAAATTTGTGCTTTAAAGCGTATCTGAAACACTGCATAGTTCTAAGTGGATGAAAAAATGTGAAACTTCCCAGTCAATCATATCTTGCTTTCTTTATCATCAATTCAAACTTCAATATCATCTGTAGACTTAACCCTATATCAAGCATGCGTGGTAATAATGCAGTCAAAGTATGTATTTTGCGAAAAGGCATGATTGAAATAATTTAAAAAAAATAGAGTAAATTGCCATTTACATTTGTCTGGTGACTAATATTTGCTACGGGGTTTCCATAGTCTTTGACACAAGCATTTTTCAAGAATTTAAGCTCAGACATAGTACGAATTCTTTTAATTTTGTTTTTTATTTTAAGTCCTGAAAGTTTTCTAAAGTTTTAGTAAATAACACTAAAAACGTAACGCAGTTTAAGTGAAACATGGACAGAACTGTTAATGAGCCGCGAGGCGTTCTTCTTTCTACCATATATCTCAATAGAACCAGAAATTAAAGATCTGATCGTCTGAAAGTATCATTTTCATCGCATCTTTCTTAAAGAGAATCGTTTTCCAGCAAATTCTCGAGTCTCTCTGAAGCTTCAATATCGCTATGCCTCTTCATCTCTCTGAAGCGTTAATATAAAGTGTTGTTTAATAAAGGCTCCTGGCAATTGTTTTTTGGTCACTTAGACTGAGATTTGCAAGGAAAATGCTTGAAATTACTTTTCAATTGTAGAAGTATGCTTCTAAACGGAAAAATGACAATTTTCCTTTTTTTTGTTTAGAAGGTATCTCAGTTTCGTGATTGTGTTAACAAGAGCGACTTTGGAATGGTTCTTCTTTTTCAGCTTCTAGCTGATATGTTCCTGAGCAAATATTTTGTTTTTCCTCCTGAAATTTGTTGGATTTTCCACCCACAGCCACCCATTGTTTGCACTCTGCAGAAGCTGCAGCACGTAGTACATATTGGATCAGCATCCCACTCACAAGACCAAGCAAAATTTTGATTGCTTTAGGTTTTGCCCTTTGTCGCGCTACTGCAGCCGTTCTATAAATCATTCCTCTGCAAGTCGTCACGTTTTGATATTTATCATACCATAATCCATTACATTAGACTGTCAAGTACCTTACACGTGTAGCGTGTCTCATGGATTCTTTCAAGAGACTCGAATTGGGAACTCAGAGATTTTCTCACGAAAAAGAGGCAAAACCCAACGTGTTTTAAGATAAAGATGTGTCACTGGAATCGTAAAAGCATATCACTCCTAGATACCGAATCACAAGACACTCCCCTTTCTTGCTTATACAATCAACAATTATCATAAAATCATAATTCTTAAAGAGTACCGCCTTAAAAACTGCATCCCTACATTTGTCATACTGCTAATCACGTGATAGCTTTCGAAATCTCTCATAATTATTGGTTTCCACTGAATCGTCATTTAAACCATTCAGATTCTGAGATGAAAGTACCTTCGATGCAAAGGATCAATGCAAGAAGTTAGCGAGAAATCTTTTAAACCATCTGACCCCTAACCAGTTCTGTCCTGATATCAATACTTTATTATAGTTTTATCGTATTTGAAATAAGAAACAATACAGACGTAGAAAAAGATCGATTACAAGTTTCGGTTATAATTTATTATCAAGGATAAATATCAAAACGATCCTAGGATTGTTAGTCGCTCTGTCGAATGTCTGGCTTCTTTATCTAAACTGCAGATGGTGGCAGAACGTATCTGCAATATTGAAGGTGAGTTGGATTAAGTGGCAAAATTGAAGTGTCTTCTTCGCCTGTTTAACCCATACTTCTCTTGATCCCTTTATTGCCAGTGCTTGTCCACGTACAACAGGTTGTCAATGAATGGTTAATCGTTCCTTCACAGCATCAATACGATTATCCGATATTGCTGCGCATTCTAATGTAACTACGGTCATTATCTCGCATGCAATTATTAGATTAAAAGCTAAGCCTCGATAACGAGTTTGGGACGAGAAAATTTTGTGTGGGTGTCAAGCCATTGCTTCTTCTAAATTTTACTGAGATTAGCAAATCGCAGTGTTATTTCGACACATTGGAAAAGCGGTTTGCGCGTCTCAAGACCTTATCTAGGGCCCTGTTTACTGGTCTAAGAATTTTGCTGTTGGTGATACACAGGTGTTAGAAAAGTAAGTCCATTTGATTTTCCTTTACTTTTAATTTCCATTTTCTTTTCCTTTTCTTTTCTTTTCCAATTAAAATATTGTAGCATTGACACTGGGTGAGAATGATAGTATTTGACAATATCATTTGCAAACTTAACACAGCCATCTTCACAAGTTTAAAGCACGTTTTATTCGGACAAATTTTAGTGAGGGATCGGTAACAGCTGCCCTGTTGGCTCAAGCAGGGTGCGGCATATTAATGATCAAACTTCTATTGGCGCTGCGTCTCTCAGGTTTTTAGGGGTTGAAAAATAAGATAATGGGTAATGGCTTGTCCCCCATTAAACAGCTATTTTCTTAAATCAAAACTGTAAGTGAAACATACGGCTCTTGAAACGATGGCCCTCTCTTCGCAAATAGACGCAACTAGCAATGGAGCTCACAATAGTCCAACTTCGGCAGTCTCGGAAAGCTCCACCCCCTCCTTCAGACACTATCGTCAATCTTTGAAAAACCATCATAAAAAGTGAGAAAAAAGCTGGATTTGGGCGTAGTTTGAACGTTGTTTTTTATTAATTTAGTGCTCAGCAACCTTTCTGGGACCGATATCACTCACTGAAAATTTCAAATGGCTTTGGCAAAAATCATTTAACATTCGATAAAGACCCTTGAAAAATCCTTGAGTTTCTTATTTTTTAAAATAATCTCGTACGCAATTTGTACAGGGCCGCATAAATTTCGTCTTGACTGAATGACATCCACAAATCAATTGGTTAAGTGCATATGATACGATTATTGAAATCTTCCGCCACATCTTTTCACCAAGCAAATTAAAAAATAAAAACACTTTTTACCACGTTGC